CCTCAAAGTACTCCTTCAGGAAGACCACGTTCTCGTGGTCCAGGCCACACAGGATGTCAATCTCCTTGAAGATGTCCTCCCTGGGCAGGCCCCCAACAATGAAAATCAGCCGTCCAACGTAACAGGGGTCGTTTCAGTGCTACAAGGACGCTCGCAATACTGCCAGGGGTGGGGCAACGTCAAGTGGCGGGCTCCAAGGTCGAGGGCCGGAGAGGCCGCCGCACGCGGGTGAGGCGGCGTGGGGCCGTGGCACGCCGGGTGCGTTTGACACGCCGGGTGCGGGCGCGCCCCCGCGCACCTGGTGCTCTCGCTGTCGCCGGGCTCCGCCCCCGCGGGCGGCAGGCTCATGATCTTGACCGCGTAGGGCTGGCCCGTGGTGCGCTCCGTCACGCGCTTCACGATCGCAAAGCCTAGCACGTGGAAAGGGCGACGCGCAGGGAAGCGGCGCACATGCAGAGCGGGGCGATCGACAGATGGATTGATCCATAGCCGTCAGGACAGCGAGCGCTCACAAAAGCACAATGTGGCGGCGGGGAGCATGAGCATGTGCACGTCCATGTTCATGTGCATGTGCGCATGCATGAGCCCCCCGTCTGCACAACCAGCAATTTTCTGCTTGCTTGCACGGCTCCCGTGCCGCTTTCCGCCTCCCCATACTCCGCTGCCAGCCGGCACACGCGGCTCCACAGCCGCCGGGCCAAGAGCTGCTAGGCCCCGCGCACCTCCCTTGCCGAGTGTCTCGCCGACCCGGTAGCACTCCCGGAACTTTTTGTCTATGCGCCTGCCCAGCCCAGGGGCGGGCCCGGCGGCGGCAGGGGGGCTGCGTGGCGGGGCCGCGCAGGGCGTGCATGCGGGGGCGGGTCATGGGTCAAAGTTGGTGATGAGCATGTCTTGGGGCCGTGCATGTTGCATTGCTGCGCTGCTCAGCCATGCGCCAACCACATCCATTGCGCTGTTGACTGGCTTCCCACCATGCGCCTGCTTCACGCAACAAGCGCAACCAACCGTACCCACTCACATGCTTGCAGTGGGCGGCGTTGATGACACCGCCTGAAACTCTATAGGCTGCTGCTGCTGCTGCTGCTGCTGCTGCTGCTGCTGCTGCTGCTGCTGCTGTAACTGCTGCGGCGAATGCTGCGGCAGCGGCAGCGGCTGAGGCTGCTGCTGTTGCTGCCGCTGCTGCTGGGGCGGCTGCTGCTGCTGGGGCGGCTGCTGCTGCTGAGGCGGCTGCAGCTGCTGCTGCTCCTGTTTGTGCTGTTGCGGCTGCTGCTGCTGTTGCGGCTGGCTTGAATGGTGATGATGCTGTCCCGGGTGCTGCAGCTCAAGCCCTTGCGTCCCCGCCAGCACCTGCACCATGACGACCCCTGCCGGGGCTGCGGCCACGCCCACGGCCACGGCCTCTGGGGCGCCAGAGCAGCTGCTGGAAGGAATCTTCCAGGTTGCGGCGCCATGGCCCTCCTCAAAGTGGACGTCTCCCAGGGCGACTGGCTTGCTGCTGCCTGGTCTTGCCGCCCCCCTCTCGCCTGGGGGCGGGTGCGGCTTTGGTGGCGGCGCGCCGGCCGCCTCAGCGGGCAGCTGCTGCTGCCCCTGGGCCTTGGCCGTAGAGGGGCCCCGGCCGGGCTTGCGGCTATGGTTGGGGGTGCATATCTCCTTGCATAGGGCGTTCCCCATCCTCAGATACCGCCTAGCAAGCCGGGCTAGGGTCTGATGTGTGCGATTTGGCGCGCGTCCTCGCCACTCCTGCAGCAGGTCCCGTGTGGCTAGCTGCTGCGTCCGAAATGAGGACTATCGGGCGCTGGGGCTGGGCGTGGGTAATAATCAAGTCACTTCATAGAATATAGGATTCCAACGGGCTGCTCTATGGGCGCAGAGCTGTTGTCGTGGTGAGCCTGCTGCTCGGTCAGAGCTGGGGAGCTATCTAATACAATACAGACAACAACGACATAGTGGCAAGATTCATTGGCATTGTCTTTCACATACGATTCCCGCGCCTTTGCGCAGTCAGCAGCTGGCCTCGTGGGTTCATGCCGCGAGGGCTGCACAAGAAGTAAGATGAATAATGTTTGTGCATGAAATTGACTAGATAATCATAGCACAAGCTCTTCGAGGCTGTGTGATCTAGTACGGCATAAGGCGTGACAGAAAAAGAAACCAGGCAGCGCTACCAGCGTTGCAATGCCGCCTGGACCATTGGACGACCTCATGGCACGCGCTGCTGCGCAGGTGCGTCGTCGTGCCGGGGACGCCAAGGCCAGGCGGTGCAGGTGCTTCTGCTGCCTCGGGCACGCATCCAAGTGGCGGCAATGTGCATGGACAGTGCAGTATGGCAAGCTTGATGCGTCAAATTTTTTGATGGTATGGACACTGCAGCTGAAGGTGCAGGATTGCATGACTGCAGCAATGGATCCACTCTCAGCAAAGCGGGCGTCGTCTGGCTACAACGTCCAACATGGCCCATGCGCTGCAGGTTGAGAAGTTTGTGCGCGAGAGTGGTCAATTCCAGACCACATGCGATGCCACATTTGCACAACTGGATTGGCAGGCCACCGGGCGTGTTGCAACCGAGTGAGAGCGCTGCAACACTGTGTGACACGCTGTGTGCGCACGGGGGCGACCTTCCAGGCAGTTGAGCATGGCGCCTGCCGCACGCGCATGAAGCCGTGCCATAGAACTGCTGCGATAACCCTCCCCGCCTGACCCCCTTCATCTCTACCCCGACGCTATCTTGCAACGCACGCTGCAGCGACGCAATGGCTGCTACAGGTGGGTGGCAGGGAGGGTGGGCAGCTGAGTGGGTGGAGGGGCTACGGTCGTGAATCGAGCAACTCAGCTCGCCTACGCGGACTCACTGCATGGAGCACACCCTGACGGATGATCCCTCACCCCTGCGCCATCCCTTTGAATGGGCTTTGCTTGCACCGCCCCGCCCATCCCCCTATCTTCACCGTTGCCGGACGACCTGCGTTGATTGAACTCCCCCAGGTATGTTTTTTGAGCAGATCTCGAGTTCCTTAGTGGAGTACGGCATGGCAGTGGAGGTGGGTGATGGCCTTGCCGTTGTGGTGGCAGCAAACAGGGCGAAGAGGAGGGGTCTCTTTGCGGGTGCATCTGCGGTCGCCGCCGCAGGGGCATGACATACTCGCGCCGCAGGCATAACAGATTGGTGTGGCGCCTGCATGAGGCCTATGCGGCGCAGTCAGCCGCGGCATATCGACACGAGGCCGGCCACGCACGCGTCAGCCGCTGCATTTGGAGGAGCGGGTGTCCCATGCATCCGCAAGCCGGGGCTTGCGTTGCAGCCATGACCTGCGAGAGGGCGGCGTCAGGGCAGCGCTGAATTCCTTGCCAGCCCTTGCCAACTTCCGCCGCCTGTGACCAACCCGCGTCCCTCAGGAGCCGTCGCCTGCAGAGGTGCGGTCATTGCTGCGCGACTGCGGGCTGGCGGGGAAGCGGCAGCTGAACCGGGACGAGTTTGAGGCGCTGTACCTCGCCATACTCAAGGTGCGGCATGCACGTGTGCATTTGGTGTGTAGGTTTCTATGCACTCGTGTGAGTTGCTTGCATTCGTGGTTTCTGTGTGCTTGCGTGCAAGGGTGTGGGTGTTGTTGTGGGAGTGTGGGAGGATGGTGGGTTGGCTACCCCACGGGCTGCGTGGATGTGTGGTGTATTGCAGTTTGAGATGCTGTTCTTTGCTTTGCTGTGCTCGTTTAGTGTATGGGGCGACGAGGTGGCTTCATGGGGGTGGGGTGGATTGGATTGAGACATCGCGGGCCCAAGACCCGCCAGGCATTGCGTGCGATGGCAGCATTTTTGCCCAATGTTGCAGCAGTCAATGGTTGGGCCGAGCAGAAGTTGGGCAAAAAAGCGCGGGTCGGCCAGAGGCACGCAGTATGCCCATGAATGGACCTGGATAGGCTCCCAGGGGGGGGAGGACTTGGGTTGGGCAGTAGGCGGGGTGGATCACATGGGCGCTTCCCCTGGCTCACAGGCTGCGTGGCCCAGCAAATGTGCCTGTTGTTTTGGGGCCACATGCAGCTGGGAGTGAAGTTGTGACGGGTATCAGCTGGGCTTGAGGTGCAGGGCTTTGGGAGGTCGAGGAGGCGTTGGCGACCCCGTCACTGTTCATATGGGCTGCCTCAACCGTTTGCGATGGGTCCCTGATCATGCTGCGCCATGCCTCTCCCCTGTCTCCTCATGGCACCCCACAGGTGGCTGCGGGCAAGTGCATCCGGAGCTTTGTACGAAAGTGAGCTGCCAGGGGTGGGACGCCGCAACGCGCCACGGCGCGGCTGTGTGGGGGCGACATTTTCTTCCGTCCTCCTGCAACTCATCAGGATCAACTGGGTCCGCTGGGAAGCCGGCACTGCCAGCTGAGTGCTTGAAATCGCTAGCTTCCACTGGCACGCGTTCGTAAAAATGCATGCAACCCTGAAGGGGCTCTGAAGCCCCTTACCCCGCACATGCGACTCCCGATTCCACCTGGAAGGTATGGCAGAGGCATCCTCGTCGGCACGGCGGGGCTGTTCATCGCCAAGCGCGCGCTGCGGGCTGTGCCGCTGGTCGGCCTGCTGGCGTCCCCTGTGCTAATGCTCGTGCCCACGCTGCTCGTCGGCCCGGCGATAGGTGGGCTGGGTCACTGATTCTGGCGCCACAAGGCGGGCAGGAGCGAAAAATTGAAAATGACAGGGGTGGGGGCAGCAGCGGGGGGTTTGGGGGTAAGGGGGGACGAATCGGGCGCGAAGCGTGGCCCCGCATGCACTTTGTCATCACATTGCTCAGAACGTCAATGAGGCGGATGGGGTTCCGTGGTAGCGCTGGCACCCCTATGCTGACCCCAGACTCCCGTTGCTCATGCGTCTGCGTGTTGAGCAACGAAACCAGCGCAACTCCTCCGTTGCATCATATCACATCACGCTTGCCAGCAGCGAGGGGAGACCCTGTGGGTATGAAAAAAATTTCACACCGGGGTGTGGGCTTTGACGCCCCCAGCTAATTAGGTCAAGCGTGTTGCCAAGTCCAGATCTAGCAGAGGGGCACTAACAATTCCGCCGGACAACTGATGTGCATGCTTGCTTGCTTGCAATCCTCCCCCTTGAGACCACAGGCGTCCTGGGCGTGTACTGCCTTGACCATGGCGGCGTGGGCGCTCTCAGAGACCTGTGGGACAACATCAGGGGCAGTGGGGGCGGCGGCGGCTTCATCGCAGGGTGACGCATCTGCGGCGGCGCGGCCGTGATGGCGGAGTGTCTGTTGCTTTGGCTGCTGTTGCAGTGTGTGATTGTGGCTGCTGCAGCGGCTGCGAGCGCGGAGTGGTTGGGGCCTCAGCGATTTGGAGGCCCTGGCTCTGAGTTAGGCGCCGAAATGGGGGATAGTGCTGGCGCTTCCAATGACTGTGACTCTTGTACATGGACGCCTGCCATCACAAATACACGTGACTGTTCATGTGACTGTTCAAACGTACTTTGCACGTATTCTTGACACTGTTGCTCGCTTCACCTTGCTGTATCTCTTCCATTCACATGGGAAGCCCTCCTGGCACATGCGTGCAGCACCATACCCTCCTGGTAAGCATTGGTCAACAGAGGTCAATGGTGCCTTCCCATCTTCCCATTCATTTCAGGACCTGCGTGCGTCATTCACAGCCATGATAGTGCTGACCACCACCGTCAGCAGCGCACAGAATCATGCGCAGCAGGCTCATCACTGGGTCCAGCGCCGGGCGCCTCTAGTGGGTTTCCCTGCAGGCCTTCAGACTTATACTGCAAGACGTCCCAGCGCTCATCAATGTGATTATTTATTAGGCAACTCATATTACCGCGACTGGAAGTAGAGCCACAGGTACACACACCAAGCCCAACGTGTCGTCTGCACACACCCGGCCTACAGTAATCACTCGCGTTGGATCGCTTGAGTAGCGCATTGCTTTTTACAAAAGGTCGTAAGTCTGTTGTTGCTCCTGCACCTCCATCTCCTGGTGGCTGGGACTGCAGCAGCGGCTGATCTGAAGCTTTCACCTTGGTCCATCCTCTCTTGGCTCCAGATAGTAACAGTAGCAGTGGGTAGCAATGCAGCTGCAGCCTCACCGCTTGAGGGCGCAGCATGCGTCCCAGCGTGCCAGCAGAACGCCCGTGGTGCCTGCCTCTCGGCCCCAGAGCGCCGTGCAGCAGCGCGTCGTGGTGGCACGGAACAATTGGAAAGTTTTTGGGCCCTCTGCGGAGTACAGCGACGGGGATGCAGAGTATTTCCGCCTCACGAGCCAGCTCTCCGATCAGTATGAATGGTTCGCCCCGCGCCAGGGCGACGAGGATGCTTCAGTGGCTCCGGAGCAGGAGGAGGGGCAGCAGCAGCAGCGCGTGATACGGCCAGAGTTCGGCCTGTCGCCGCGCGAGATAGCGGCGCTTGGCCTGTCAGGGACGCGCAGCAACCTCCCCGACCCGGTGCGCGTGCGGGGCGGCGCCTGGAGCGAGCAAATGGCCCAATGTGCCAAGCTGCTGCACTTGTCTCGATCGCCTTGGACGCATGCGTGTGTGTTTGTGCGTGTGGGCGCGGGGGAAACAGGGGGTTGGCAGCAGCTTTGTGTTGCAAGTGCACATTTCCAGAGCCAACAGCGGCTACGCCACTTGCAGGAAGCACTTGCCCACACACACATCTGCGGCCCCGCAGTCAGTGCGCATCGTCACACAACCGGCGGCAGCGTCAACAGCAGCAACTACAAGCGGCGGCGGCGGCAGCACGCGCGGAAGCAGCAGCTGCACACGGCCCGCCCCCTCACCCCCGCCCCCGCGTCCCCTCGTTTCGCCCTGCAGTCCACGCTCTCCGCAAAGCACTACATGCGCGGCGACCCCTTCAACCCCGCGGACCCCGCCAGCCTCGGTTTCAGCGCCACCCTGCAGCGCGGCGGCGCGGCGGGCGCGAGCAGCAGCAGCGGCGGCGGCGGCGCGGCGGCGGCGACGATGGCGCGGGGGCGCGCGTACAGCGGTGCGCGGGCGGCGTACGGGGACTACCAAGCCTACCCCGAAGGACGGCCCATCTTCATGCCCGAGGCCGAGCGCTTCGGCAACCCGCCTGACCTCCCCTCCCTACTGCTGCAGCAGCGCGTGATTTACATCTCAATGCCGGTGTGGCCCTGTTTTGGGGTTTGGGGGGGCTATGCCCTGGTGGCATACGGGATGTCCCATCGGCGGACCTCGCGCGGCTGGCGCTGTAGTGTTGCGTGAGGGTGGCATCAGTGCCGGCGCCAGCAGTGGTTGCGAGGATGAGTGGGTGGCAGCTTGTTCGCACCCGCAGCCTGGCGTGGTTGGCGTCGGCACGCAGAGACTGCGGGGAGGCTGCCTAGGCACCATCCTCCCTGCCTGCCCGCCGCATGCGGCGGCGTGGCAGGCTTGAAGGCACATCGCGTTCGCTCCTCGCGCCACTCCGCACCACGGAATTCAAACTCCCGGCCCTCTCCCCCCCCCCCCCCC